GATCTCTCCTCTTTCATTCATGATTTTATTTGTGTCCTTTCTCTTTTCTTTTTGACAAGTCTGGCTAGAGTGTCTCCAATTTGTTTATTCTTTCAAAGAATCAGCTACTAGTTTTGTTGATCTGTTCTACCAGGGTTTTTCTTTTTAATTATATGTCATTGATTTCTGCTCTAATTTTTATAATTTCCCTCTCCTCCTGGATTTAGGCTTTATTTGCTGTTCTTTTTCCACTTCTTTTAGGCGTAAGATTAGGTTGTGTATTTGGGACTTTTCTTGTTTCTTGAGGAAGGCCTGTGTTGCTATGTACTTTCCTCTTAGGACTGCTTTTGCTGCATCCCAAAGATTTTGGACTGTTGTGTTTACATTTTTATTTGTCTCCATGTATTTTTTTAAATTTCCTCTTTGATTTCTTCACTGATCCATTCGTTGTTTAGTAGCATGTTGCTTAGCCTTTATATGTTTGTGCTTTTCTGTTTTTTTGATTCTTGTTTTTTTTTAAAAGATTTTATTTATTTATTAATGAGAGACAGAGAGATAGAGAGAGAGGCAGAGACACAGGCAGAGGGAGAAGCAGGCTTCATGCAGGGAGCCTGATGTGGGACTTGATCCCTGGACTGCAGGATCATGCCCTGGGCGGAAGGCAGGCGCTAAACCACTGAGCCACCCGGGCTGCCCCTGTTTTTTTGATTCTTGTAATTGATTTTTAATTCCATGCTGTTGTGGTCAGAAAATATGGATGACTTGATTAGTCTTCCTAAATTTATTAAGACTTATTTTGTGGCCTAACACATCTGTCTGGAGAATGTTCATGTGCACTTGAAAAGAATGTATATTCTGCTTTTGGATGGAATGTTCTGTATATATCTCTTAAGTCCATCTGATCTAATGTGTTGTTCAAAGCCAGTTTCCTTGTTGGTTTTCTGTCTGGAAGATCTATCCATTGATGTAAGTAGGGTGTTAAAGTTCCCTTCTATTATTATTCCCTGTTAATTTCTCCCCTTATGAATGTTAATATCTATGTATGTAGGTGCTCCCATGTTGGATGCATTGATATTTACAATTGTTGTATCCTGTTTCTGGATTGATCCCTTTATCATTATGCAATGCCCTTCTTTGTGTCTTGTTACAGTCTTTGTTTTTTTTTTTTTTTTTAATTTTTATTTATTTATTCATGAGAGAGAGGGGCAGAGACATAGAGAAGAAGCAGGCTCCATGCAGGGAGCCCGATGCGGGACTCGATCCCAGGACTCCAGGATCACGCCCCGGGCCGAAGGCAGGTGCCAAACCGCCGAGCCACCCGGGGATCCCTACAGTCTTTGTTTTAAAGGCTGTTTTGTCTAATAAAAGGATTAGTACTCTGGCTTTTTCCCCCCTTGTATTTGCATGGAATATGTCTTTCCATCCCTTCACTTTTTTTTTTTAAGTGTTAGTCCTCCTGTTTATTTTTCTAATTAATTAATTAATTAATTTATGATAGTCAGAGAGAGAGAGAGAGAGAGAGAGAGAGAGAGGCAGACACACAGGCAGAGGGAGAAACAGGCTCCATGCACCGGGAGCCCGACGTGGGATTTGATCCCGGGTCTCCAGGATCGCGCCCTGGGCCAAAGGCAGGCGCCAAACCGCTGCGCCACCCGGGGATCCCCATCCCTTCACTTTTAATCTGTGTGTGTCTTTAGGTCTTTAGTGAGTCTCTTGTAGGCAGCATATGGAAGTTTACAGCTGTTTCTTCAACTAAGTTTTCTGCCTTTCTCTCTCTCTCTTCTTCTGGAATGCCTATAATGCAAACATTTGTTCATTTAATGTTGCCCAAGATACCTCTTATCCTATGCTCGCTCATTTTTTAAAATTATTTTTTCCAGAGTGCTCTGGAATTATTAATACTTAATATTAAACTATTATAATATTTAATATTCAATACCTTTGGCTGGCTTAGTTGGTAGAGTGTGTGACTCTTGATCTCAGGGATGAGATCAAGCCCTACATTGAGTACAGAGATTACTTTTAAAAAAAAATCTTGGAATTTTTTTCTTTTTGCTATTCAGCTCAGGTGTTCTCCTTTACCCTGTCTTCCAGATCTCTGTTCTTCTGCATCCTCTAATATGTTCCTTCCTTCTAGTGTATTTTTCATTTCATTTATTGTGTTCTTAAATTCTGGCCATTTTTCATGTTTTCTCTTTGTTGAAATCCTAAGTTCATCTACTATTCTCTCCAGTCTGTTGAACATTTTTATGACCATCACTCTGAACCCTTTATTAGATAAATTGGTTATCTACATTTCATTTAGTTCTTTTTCTGAGGTTTTGTCTTATTTTTCATTTGCAGCATATTCCTTTGTCTCTTTATTTGGCTTGACTTTCTGTGTCTGTTTCTATGAATTAGGCAGAACAGCTACTTCTCATAAACTAAGAGAAGTGGTCTTGCCTATGGTCATCCCTTGTGTATATTGTATGTGTCTGGTGACTGGCTGGTTAAAGCTGTGGCTGGTTATAGGTTGGGATTCCTGGGGCACTCTGGATGGCCAAAGCTAAAATGGGTAGAGGTGGAGGTAGTCTTGGGATTCTTCATGTAGTCAGTGCCCTGGTAGTACTACTGAAGCTGAAGTGGGTGCAAGCCAGGGTGTTCCAGGGTACTTAACGCAGGGGGCACCCTGGTAGGACAGCTAGAGCTGAGGTGTGCATCTGTGCCTGTACCTTAGCAAGTTGTCTGGAGCCAAAGTGGTTTGGACCTAGAATGTTCCATGGTGTTTTACATCTACGTTACCTTGGCAAGATGACTGTAGTTGTAACTAGCACTCACCAGGATCGTACCAGTATGTGCTACACTGCGGCTGCCTTAGAGGGATGGCTTAGGCTGGTGTGGGCTAGGAGCCTGGAGCTCACTGAGGCAGTAAGCCAGCTGGGATGCCCAGACCTTGTTTCCATCCACACTATCAGGGTACTTGCCAGCTCCTATTACCAGAGAGGGTTCCAGCCAGCTCCCCTGCTATTTGGCAGGTTTCTGGGGCTGCTTCCTTTATATCCTAGTTGCCCTTTTAAACCAAAGCTTTTTTTTTTTTCTGTTCTTTAGAACAGACAAATCTGTTCACCACCCCTCAGTACTATCCACCCCACCCCCTACTGCAGTTTGCAGAGTTGGTGGTGGAGGTTCCCTTCCTTCTCGTGTCTTTTTTTTTTTTTAAGATTTTATTTATTTATTCATGAGAAACAGAGAGAGGCAGAGGCACAGGTAGAGGGAGAAGCAGGCTCCATGCAGGGAGCCCGATGTGGGACTTGATCCTGCGTCTCCAGGATCACGCCCTGGGCTGAAGGCGGCACTAAACCACTGAGCCACTCAGGCTGCCCTTCTTGTGTCTTTCTTGCCATTCTCTGTGTGATTTTTTTCTTCTTTAAATTCAGTTAATTAAAAAAAAAATTCAGTTAATTAGCATATAAAGTATTATTGGCTTCAAAGGTAGAGGTCAGTGATTCATCAGTCTTATATAACACCCAGTTCTCGTTACATCCTTAATGTTCATCATTAAGTTACCCCATACCCCTTCACCCCACTCTCCTCCAGTGAGCCTCAGTTTGTTTCCTATGATTAAGAGTCTTTTATGGTTTGTCTCCCTCTTTGATTTTGTCTTATTCTTTCCTCTATTCCTAATGATCCTGTTTTGTTTCTTCAATTCCACATGTGTGAGATCATATAATTGTCTTTCTCTGATTGACTTATTTCGTTTAGCATAATATCCTCTAGTTCCATCCATGTCATTGCAAATGGCGAGATTTCATTTTTTTGATGGCTGAGTAGTATTTCATTGTATACATCTACCACATCTTTATCCATTCATCTGCCAATGGACACCTGGGCTCTTTCCATAATTTGTCTATTGTGGATATTGCTATCAACATTGAGGTGTGGTGACCCTTCAGATCACTACATTTGTGGTTTCTTTTGTGGTGAAGAGGCTGTTCAGTCACCCCTCAGATCATCTTCAAGAGAAATTGCTCCATAAAATAGGTGTCCATGGAGGAGGTGAGTTCAGCATCTTCCTACATCACCCTCTTGGACCAGAACTAGCAGTGTTTTTCAGGTGTTCTACACCTTACTGATTTTCTACCCAGTTGTTCTATTAGTTTTTGAGAATGGGGTATTGAAGTCTTCAAGTATAATTATAGATTTGTATTTGCAGTCTTGTCTTTGTTTCATGTGTTTTGAAACACTGTTAATAGGTGTGTAAACATTTAGAGTTAGGTCTTCTTGATGAAATGAATTCTTTATCATTAGGCAATGAACTTCTTTATTCCTGGCAATATTCTTTCTCTGAAATATACTTTGTGTGATATTAATACCGTCATCTTTCCAGTAGTGTTCACAAAGTATTTGTTTCTCCATTCTTTTATTTCAATCTATTTGTGTCCTTGTATCTAAAGTGAATTCCTTATAGACATTGTATAATTGGGTCTGGGCTTACCTTTTAGGATTTGCACATTTCATTCCTCACTATATTGTTAAATAATTTTAATGTTCCTTTGTATTTTATCCATTTAAAAAATTTGCCCTGAGTAGGAGAGTAGATCTCAACTCTCTAGCTGCCTATTACCAATTTTTCCATCAGTCAATTAGTCAAAAAAATATTTATCAAGCACCTAGTTATGTGACATTTTTCTGGGTACCAGGGATAGAGAGGCAATCAAGTCAAAGGTTCCTGGGCTCAAGTTCATATTCTAGTGGGGAAACACTGTAAAATATATAATCTTTAAGCAAATGCTCCTTTTGAGACTCCCTTTGGAGTTTCCATAACTTCACATAATGGACTTGTTTTTATCCCAAGCAAAATTGGAGGGCCACTTACAAGTTTTTGCCCAAAATCTTGGGGGGAGGAAGTTTAGAAGAATAAGCCTGAGGGAGTGAGGGTGGTTCTGACATTTAAGAGATGACTGTAAGTTCACCACACAGCAAACACAGATTGGGTAAGTGACACTAAAGGAATCTCTTTATGTCTTTTCTATCCCCTACAGATATTCAGGAACCAGCAGCCCCTGACATAGAAAATGAGTCATGGAAAACCCCTGAACAGGGGCCACCTTCCAGCCAGCCTAACCCCCCAGAACTTTCAGATGTCCAAGCTTCCTCTGTGTCACAGAAGCCCCGAAGCATGAGGCCCTCAGTCCAGCAGTATCCCCCCCAGGAGAATGTGAAACCACCAGTGCAAGGGGATAGTGAAGCCACCAGTATCCCCCAAGGGGAAGGTCAAACCAGCAGTGTCCCCTAAGAAGAACAAATTACCAGTTCTTCCCAGGGGAGTCATCAGACAGACCCTCCCTACTGAATCACATTGACTCCCCTGCCACAGAAACCCTGGGATTCACAGTGCCCATCAAAGAGGTCGCCATCTGAAAATCCCAGGAGACCTCCATTGTTTAATCCTCCTCCCAGGAATCCTTTCATACAGTGCATTCCTTCTCTAGTATGTCCTTCTCCTACAGGATGTCCTTGGAGAAAATTTGGTCATACCTTGCCTTCTCCCACCTCTTCCTCTCTGCATAAGGGTGGTGATGGGTAATCAAGGAAGGAGTGCAGAAGGGCCATTGAGGCTCTCAGGAGGATCACTGTGGTCTAGCGCTTTCCATAAAGAATGCGTCTTAAGGGGATGGGCAAGGGAGTTGTGTGTGGTCTTGGAGCTGAAGCTAGTTCTGTAATGTTACAGGGTTTCTCACCCTAACCCTTCATAGCACTCCCTGCTAAAGGAATGGCTTTGTGCAATCAGCATGGGAATAAAGGCAACCTCTCAGGAACCTAGAAAGTAAATGATGTATTATCTGGACTCTTCTGTGATCACTCAGGCTGGCAGAGACTAGGGGAGGAGTTCAAAAGGTGATGCCATCCTGAGTGAATGAGAAGTGGCATGGGCATGAGTTGGGAAAAAGATCTCATCCCACACACACACTCTGTGATCTGTGCAATGGGATGATGGGCATAATTCTGTGCCCACCCACCAGCCCTAGGCCTTTAAGGGGAACTAGAGTATAGAACAAACATCTGGAGCCCCTTGTGTCTAGGAGCTAAATGTTAGAAGCAGTGAACTGGATTCTGTGTGACTTCCACCTATCCACACTCCTCCTGAGTCTCCCTATCTCCATCAGTATGATGGTGTCGGGGCAGACCACCACAGCACCTTCCTTCTGGCTCAGATTGAATCTGGGCTACCCGTGGAGCCAAGTAAACACTGGTGGGGCAAAGCTGTCTCAGCATGTGGTCATCCCAGGGAGCAGTGCTGTCTTGGGGCCTCTACTTTTACTAGCAGCCCCTCCCACCCAGGAAGCTGGGGAGAACTCCCTGTGGAATGTTTGGGCATCCAGATGCAGATGACCTAAGACACTTAAGGACTGACTCTGTGGTAGTATTGGGGGACTCGGGGCTGATCATCAACATGCCTCCTCCAGGGGATTCTCCATCGTCACTTTTCTAGGCGTTCCTCCTAATCATGGCCTAGGAGGATGCCCCACCTCCACATCACACCTTCCCTGTCTAAAGCCCCCATCCACATACCTGCCCAGATCATGGCCTAACTTGGTCCTTTCATCCTGATCACAAAGTAACATTTTATTATTTATTTTTTATTTTTTTTAGCAAAGTTCTTTTTATTTTTTTTTAAGATTTTATTTATTTATTCATGAGAGACACAGAGAGAAAGAGAGGCAGAGACACAGGCAGAGGGAGAAGCAGGCTCCATGCAGGGAGCTCGACATAGGACTCAATCCCGGGTCTCCAGGATCACACTTCAGGCTGCAGGCGGCGCTAAGCCGCTGCACCACCGGGGCTGCCCCCAAAGTAACATTTTATAGGCACTCTCAGGACATAAGGATTTGACCCAAAGCAGCATCCTTCTTGGAGTTGTTGATGAACCAAGGAGATATTTCTGACAGGATGCAAGAGCTATTCTGGCTCCACTGGCCCTAGTCAAGTCCCAGAAGCTGGTTCCTTCTTTAGTCCCCAGCCCCTGCACACTTAGGCTACTACCTCCCAGACTAATGTCCCAACATTTATCCCACAACCCACCCTGGTCCCAGCCAGTCCCTTTAAGCCCCTTTCAAGCACACCTTGGGCTCAGGCATCCCAACCCCCAAACTCAGACCAGCTTAGCCCTGTACACATAGACAAAAGATATACAGGCCACTCGCACACAGTCTGATCTTTGTCCCCCACACATTCCCCCACTCTCTCCCCTTCCCACAGCAAAGACACTATAGGACCAAAAGATTAAACACATACTTTATACCCTGAGGTGAACAGGGGGAACTAGCACAGGGGCTCAGCACTCACATTGCAATATATAAAAGTGATCTGTCTCCCTCATCCCAGCTGAGAATCCTGGTCTTACAGGAATTAAGCCAGGTTTCAAAATATTCTGGGTTTGGTTTGGTTGGTCCTGGTGCGGAGAACTAGGTTGTCCTCTTGAAGTCAAAGGAGGTCACATGGTAGGACTGGTCTAAGAAAGGCATCCAAGGAGCACAGGATCTTATAACTGGGAAGGCCACAGCAAGCCAGGGCTAGAACCAGCCCTCAGGAGTGGATAGAGGGGAGTTCTGCATCCCAGCAAGGCTGCCTCGCTGGAAAGATAGGAAGCCAAGTTGGTGCAATCAATGATGGCCAGCTGGCCCAGCCTCCCTGCCCAGATGGCAAAAGTCCTCCCCCACCTGCAGAGGTAGCTGACGGGCCTGAGCCAGCACCACCTCTCCCACTGTTCACTTGCCACTCCTGGAGCCCCGCTGTTTACTCATGGCTGTGAGCATCTGGCTAATATAGGAAGTCAGGAGGTCATCCATCTTGTAGCCCTGGAAACAACAGCAAGAAGAGAACAGAACAAAAAGTGGGACAGTGCCAGCCCACTCAGATGCAGAACTCTCCTAGGAAACTGTAGAGAGCAGAGCCCTCAACAAAGGAGAATCCTGTCCTGCTCTGGATCCAGTCTCCCCAGCTGTACACTTGAAGAGTTACATTCATCCAGCCAGATATCTAAGATTCTAAGTTGTTACGACCCCACATAAAGGCCCCAGTTTGTAGGTCCCTAACATACTGGTGACACTAAAGGTTCTACCAGTTGAGTCATACCTCTGAAGTTCAGCTCAGTCCAAGAAGCCTCATTGCTAATGGGTCCACTGTTGAACTTAGAGGCTAAAGGCTCAGTTCCCAGATACTGAAGTTATTCAAGCAATAGTTCTTAATTGAGGTGTCTGTTTCTCAGCACCAAATTAAGCCCCTCTCCCAGACCTAAGCTGAGTCTCAAACCAACCTGACCTTGGTCCAGTCTGACCCTAGATCCCAGTCTCAGGCCAAGCTGTGCACTCATGTTTGTCCTGGGGCCTGGGATGCTAGCTGAAGCTGCAGGCAGGCCTGAATAGAAGAGCTCTCACCAGTGACGTCTCACAGAGCAGTTTGCTCCCGCGCACCAGGTTCCCAATGGTGATGTGGAAGTAGGTGTTGCCACTGCTCCAGTTGGAGATCTTTGTGAAGGGATGAGTAGTCAAGATGTCCTAGGGAAGCAAACACAGTCTGAAGCTATGCAGTCTGGACCCTCTGGCCTCACTTCCCTCAGTTGCAACCCATAGACACCACACACCGAAAAGACCTCCAGCTGTTGGACAAGAGAAGGAGCAAGAAGACAAGCCAGCTCTGCCATGGAGCTGCTGGGGGAGGCAGGTGCCTTCCCTCCATCCATGCCTCATTTGGGACCAGATGGTAGGCCACCCAAGGAAGTCTGAGAGGCTGTGGGGTATGTGGGGCTGGAACTGGAAATTTGAGAGGCCCAAAGAAACAAACTATGATCCTGAGTGAGATGGTCCTGAGGAGGAAGACAAGATGACAAGGACAGCCCTGGGGAGCACAATGTGTGTGCGTGGAGAAGAATGACCAAGAGGGATAAGAGGAAAACCAGGGAAGTGGGGCACATGAGCACAAGGGGAAGATGGTGGTCCTTGGCACTCTACCAATTGTCCAGTTGTACCCCTCCTGGGTATGTAGTAGGACTGTGCTTCCTGGTTTGCTGAGTGAGGACAACTCTGGCCCATAAATATGAACCATAGCTATCCACCACCACCCCATGCAGTCTGCCATCCTGACCAATATGGATAGAGAACATTGTGGAAGGAAGGAATGGTTGGTAGGGGGTCCAGTGATGCCGATAGGCCAAGTACTGATAACTTCATTGGATTCAGTAGCAAGGTGGTGGCTAGTGACTCTAGGAGAGCAATTTTGATGGAGCAGGTAAGAAAGTAGACAAAGCATCTCAAAATGTGTGGCCAAGAGGGCAGATGAAGTGAGGATGGTGGCCAGCAGGGGCTCTTTGAGGCTTGGGTTTGGGGGCCATTGTTAGAGGTGCACACAGAGAAGTATACCTCCCCACCCCTGCCCCTTTACTGCTCACCTTGCTTCTGGGATCGATGAGGCTGACCCCATACTTATTGATGGCGATTAAGAGGATCTCGGGGAAGTTTGGCTCTGTAGTTTGCTAGCAAAGAGAGCCAAAACCATCAGATACAGCTGAGGGAACCCAGAGCAGGGAAAGCTGGGTGCCAGGATTAAGTTGCCCTCTTCTGCTGCCTGCTCAATGCCAGGGCTACAGCAGGGCTGGTGGCCCTGCCGCAAGCTCATGGTCTCCATCTCTACTGGGCCCTCAGTGCCACCCAGATCCCTTCATGGGTCCCCAAATGATCCCATTTCTCACCCTCCCCAGTGACAGTTTCATCCCTTCTCTCCTGCTTCTCTAGGAGTCTGGGCTATCTCCTCTCTCAGCCCAAATATCCTTCATATTTAAAAATCCTGAGCTCTACCCCTGCCTCCAGCTTATCTCTTTACCTCCCTCTCTTCTTGCACAGCCAGACTTCTCCAAAGGCCCCCATTCAAGGTATGTAACGAGGCCATCCCCTCTCTTCTTCATCTTGTGCCATTCCCACAGTTCTCTTGCCGTCCTGTTCATCATCATCCTGCCTCTGCTCGTGCCCCTTAGGCCCACCCCCATCCTGTGGTCAGAGTGCATTTCTCACCCCATCATCCCTGTTCAGAACCCTCCAGTGTTGGCCACCACCTGCAGGAGGAAACCCCACACCCTCGCCTGCTTGCCAGGCTGCCTCAGCACAAGTCTGCTCATCTCTTACCCTGTGGCCATCCATACTCAATCTCGTGTACTTCCTGTGCTCATGCTAGGCCCTCTGCCAGGAACACTCTCCCCAGGGTCTTCCTGGAAAGCTCAGTCGTTGCCTCCTCAGCCTTCATAGTCTGGGTAGGCCTCCCAGGTTCTAGCACCTTGATGAGGGCTCCCCCTTGTCACACATGGCCCAGTTCATTCTCCAGTACTCTGGCTTGTTTACACATCTGCCTCTCCTGCTAGGCTGAGCTTCGGGTAGGCCCTCGGATCCCAGGACTGAGACACCCAGGTGGTACAAAGCTGAGGGTGCTTCCATCCTTCCCTTGCCAGTACAGGTGGCAGAGGCTATCGCTGTCACCCACAGTCCTGGAGAGAAGTTCCTGTGCCTTCTTGCCCCCACCCCTTGAGGCAAGAAGCCACCCATAATGTACCTTCACCTCGAAGAAAGCTGAACCAAAGGTGGGCCACTTGAAGATGAGCTTTAGGAAGGCTAGCTTGGCTTCCTCCTTGGACTTCCCTGCATGCTTATTGAAGTAGGCAACAATAGACTGTGGGGGAAGCACAGGTCAGAGGCCTCTCTCCTGCCATTCCTGCCCCACCTGCATTGTCCAGCTCTCCCAGGCCCTGGGGG